CGAAGAAGAAATTCTCTCCTATTAGTAACCTACTTAGGGAGTGCCCGGTGATCGAGTTCGGACTGGTTGGGACCACTTGGGTCCGCACACTCCAGGTTTCGACCCCTGGTACGACCGTTCCAGACACCTTCACTCTTTTGGATCCCGGGGGGTATGACGTGGCACTCTATGATAGGCTCAGACTTTAGTCCGAACTTCATTTGGCTTGCTGTATGGATTCGCAGAATGTCTAAAGGAACCGGCGACCGTCAGATGAAACGGCAGTATAGGACCTGTAGGCTGCAGCCTGCCGGGCGTAGGCTGTATCCTACGTACAGTCTACTCCTAGAACTTGAAGAAGGGGACAGTAGATTCACGAGCTGATTTGCTTCCTGTCCGGAGTAAAAGGGGCGCCAATAACGAAGCTGGGGACGGAGGGGCAAGCTGGTGGAGCAGACAGCAGCGCATGGCAGGAGCTCTTCCTCCGTGGCTTTCTTTGTGACACTGAGAATTCGAAAGCTTAAGGTGCTTGCGCTGACTGCGGTAAACTTTGCCCCAGCCCTTAGCTGCTCCTGCGCTGGGACGTTGTTTCACTCTTTAAAAACATGCATGGGATTCAGCCGGGTGCGAACCGGGGGTTGACATCTGTCTACCAAATATTGGAAGTTGAGATTATGAGGACACCCAATAGGCGCCACGGCTTAATTCAATGGTCAGGACCAAAAGACTGAGTGTATCTACCAAATCTCAGTGCAGATACAGGTCTGCTTGCGTTGATGCCAGCCGCAGCATCTTACTTAATCTAGGTTCAGGGATCTTCCAAGCTTGCGAGCAACTATTTTCTTGGTAAAGATGGACTTCTGTCCAACCTGCGCCAACTTGCTTCTGGTCGAAGGAGGCAACATGGGGGAACTCCGCTACTTCTGCCAGACATGTCCATATGTGTACACCATAAAAGCAAAGGTGAGTTGCAAATGTCCAAAAGGAGAGCAATGAGGAGGGGCAACGAGGCGATACAGAAGCGTGCGCAAGGTCCAAGCAATCCTCCCATGTGTCAAAAGTGCTCGAAGCATTGGTTTGGTGATGACTTGGTATATTTGTTTAGCACTTTCTTTGCCTGCCGGCTGGGGGTTTTTGTGGCGGCTGCCTAGTCACGTCAGCAACCCCGTTACCTTCAACCTTTTCTAATTAGCACGAGAAGCAGCTACTGTCACGTCTCTGAAGGCAGATCGTCCACTGCGCTCTCTTCAAGCACCCCCACGATGTTCGTTCCGATCGCTCTCTTAGGTTCTGAAAGAAGTAGCGTCAACCGTCCTGCCGCATGAGCTCCCCTGACGAGGTTTGCTTGCTTCAGAAGACCCCATGTCGCAGGAATTGCTCGGAGATGTTCTTTCCTCCTGATCCATCTGAGCTTTTTATAAGACCACCGCCACCATTGCATTCAGCGTCCAGCCATTTCTATCAAAACCCTTTACACTTTTAGGAAGTTATCGTCCTTTCGACACCTGTAATGCTTCAAGTGCATAGAGGTCAGCATTGCCGTCGCAGGTTCATGTCAAGGGCAACAGTCGCCACGTAAGCACTATCTTATATCGTTCGCTGGTAGCCGCTAACCCAACGTGGTTCGTGTCTGATCCATCAGTTGTGGTGCGAGCTCTATCTTAAAGATAGTTTGCCGGTAATGTGGATCTGTAGTAACGCAACGTGATTAGTCGCTGACCCATGCCCTCTCGACTGAAATCTGACCCTGAAGCTCGCTGCTCGGCTAGACACACGTCTAATTTTGGAGAGAGTTGAGAGAACGGATGGAGGGAGAACATGGACTTTCGGGCAACCTGAGCGAGCCCCCTTCGCTACAAATCTAGGGATATCGTCGGCTAAGTTTGCCGGAAAGACCTTTTCGGACCTTCGTTTCGGAGTATTTTAAATGAGGGGGGTCATTGAAAGTGACCGACCGTCGGTGTGCCTTCTCCTTCCATCCGTTCTGAGAGTCAAATTCGGTCTGCAACAAGAGCCCTCGTTTCAAACACCATCCTCGAAAGCCCGCATACCAACGGCACTTCAATGCTTGATCTGGTCAAAGTTTCAAGATCTTGCTGCGCTTTCTCTTTGTGACGCAGATGAAGAATAAGCTGCCTCTGGCCAGAAAAGAAGTGGACGATGTCCTCGGGGGTGAAGAGGCCTGGCGGAACGTGGATAAGACGGAAGGTGCGGTCTTCTTCTCGTTCATGATTTTTGTTATGCTCTTTGACTTAGGCCTATGGTGAGGTGGTCCAGTTCCTTGGTTTTACCAAACACCTTCACCCGGGGTTACGATGCTCCGAACCCTTACACATCCTAAACCCCCTGCTTCTCCCGACATGTCATCCTATGGCGTACAGCAAGTAGCGTCATTCAATGGAAATAGTTGATGCATGTTCTCGCTTTGTTGCCAACTTTTCGTGATGGTTTGCTTGTGCGCACACGGTTCAAATTGCTAGGTGCGATCTGCAGACGTCTTATAAGCCGTCGAACACATCAGCGGCAGTATCGATGACTTTCTTCAGGCCACAAGTGCACAATAAAACCTCATTCAAAAGGCAGAAGTTTGTCACTGTTGTCTCAATACTGCCGCAGCTTTCACCTTTTTTCGGGTATCGGATTTACGGCCCAGTCTCTCGGTTGGTCGATAGCATGTGGTGTCACTTGTAATGTGATATTCTTGTCTGGACAAAAGTTGCACGAGATGAAGTATATTCTGACGCTCTGTTGCGACCGCACCCATGCTGGCAGTCCTTCCGTCGATGCCAAAACCTGCGCCTCCCCTCCAAGCATCCTTTAAACGTGGCCAATGCCTTCCGCTTCCGCTTTTCAAATGCGCACCAGTACCCAAACTCCTGCGCGTCCCTTTCGGGTTACATTACTGCCGTAAGCTGTTTGCGGCACCTCTCTTGCCCTTGCTGCTGACACCCCGGTCCCCGCCTCGCTCTCTTGCAGCCACCTGTCCGAAGTGCAGATATGGGGAGGCGTACTTCATGCAGATCCAGATTCGGTCCGCGGACGAACCCATGTCTACGTTTTACAAGTGCTGCAAACCCGAATGCTCGCACCAGTGGCGGGAAGGATAACCAAGGGCGGTCAACCTACCTTTGAAACATTAGCAGGACCCATGTTGGAGCGATAGACATGTCAGAAAAAGGTTTTGTGTACTGAGAACACGTGACAGGGTTCCGGTCCAATACGGTTGCCCACAAAGATCCCCTCCGCTTTCGTAAAGGTCGATAGAAACGGCCACCGATCTGAACCGATTGGGCTACACGAAGATTGTACTTGGCTTGGCATCCACACTCGAGACAAGCCTGAAGTCGAAAGGAAGCAGTTTGCGCAGCAAAAGTTACAATTCTGGCTAGCAAATCTTCCAAGTGCTATAACCACAGCTCTAGCTGGCGTGTATTGAGGACTCAAGCTTATTGCAAAAGGGTGGCGCGGCACTTTACAAACATCGAGTTCAAACGCGCTTACTCGCTCAAAGCGTTACCCACCAGGTGCTCGGCCAGCCACTTTCTATTACACTTGTAGCGTGCACAGCATCGGGTCACGACGGTCAGACTTTGCTCACTACGTTGATTTCAATGGTATAGCCTGCCGCGGCCGGCAGCATTTTGGACTAACATGATCGTTGCTTTCCATGAGGACGGTACGCTTGCTATTATACGGCGCTCGATCGGGGGCCCGTACGTGTTCGACGATCCCGCACATGGCTTGGGACCGCCGCTCTTAATTGATATGCTCAAGTAGCGTGCTTTCTTGATTTTGATATGAACATGCACATGATCTATAAGCTACGTCATTTGAGAAATCATGCGTTACGTTACTATACCTCATTCTCAGGATTTAAGAAACTTGAACTGATTACCCCTGGCGCAGAATCCGATCCGAGTTGGAAGGTAGCTATATATGGTCCGACCATACAGCTACGGTCCCGATTCATCGTTGCAAGTGGGACCGGCTGACGTACCGTCTATAGTGCATCGGATGCCAAGTAGTGAAAGGTCCGGCCAGCTAGCCTAGATCATGCAAGACTCCGACCAATTTAAACTAGTAGGACTCTGCTTTGATTCATACATGAAGGTTGAAATGATGCTCGAGTCGGACGGTTCAAACTGTCATGCCTTTCAGGCCAGGAAGACTGTTGTATCGATCCATTTCTCGGATCGCCATCTTGGATCATATTGCTCCGAATAAACGTTTTCCGACTTACGTAGTAGTCACTGAGTAGTTAACCTGTGCCTGAGTAGTTAACCTGTGTCTGAGTAGTTAACCTACGTGCCCATGGTCTCGAAACGAATGCAACCATTGGCCACATATTCATTAAGACGACGACTAGTACCGAGTCAGCAATTGAATTGACTGCTTGCAAAAGTAGGTGCGTACAAACAGTAGTCAGTCGCGAAAAGATGGCTTATATAACTTAGGGCCTGATGACGTCTGTACATCCTTCGTCCATATGCATTTAAACATACTAGTTGGAATTAACTAGGATCAACTGACACCTTCACGTTAAGATCAAACTGTCTAGCAGAGAGTCTAGCAGAGTCTACTTGTAACAACAGTTGGTCTACACGGTCGAGAATGTTCCGACTCTGTTTTCTTTTCAAAAGATCGCCCTTGGGGAATCGAAAGTTAGAATGCAAACCTCCTATCTTACCTTACTGAAAGCCCTCTTGAAGATCTTGAAAAGTCAGTGCTTTTTCCAAGGTCTACCCTCTGATCTACCATGATTCAAGAATCGTTTATTCAACAACCTTACAATGTACCTTGCTTCAAAGAAAAGATGGTCTCAAACAATCTGTGAACGCTACTCTGATGCCTGTGCTTGCAAACAAGGCAGTTTGATTTGAGACAGATGGGGGTTGCGGATAAGGGTTGAGGAAGCAAGACAGAGCGCATGCCAAGTGGCGCGAGTCCCCTTTGATGGACTTTTCTGCCAGGTAAGACCATTACTCATCTCGCAGGTTCTTTTGCAGCAATCATGAAGCATCTTCAGAAGCTTTCTTTCTGATCATGCTCATGATTACACTCAGGGATGCACCGCTGGACCCACGAAAGGCTTTTGCGGTCTCTACAGATTGCCTGCTACAGCCTTTCGCAAATACAAAGGGAAACATGAGTGATAGTGCGCGAACGCTTGCGTAAGTTGAGAGGATAGTTCCGTCAAGTAACAGAGTACCAGCTTAATTAACATGTTTTCAGAACAAATTTGAGCTTCTCGTAGCTGGTCAATCTACCCCTGCAAGTCCCTAAGGCTCCGCCAGCATGACGAATCATGCAGCCCAAGTCCTTTCTCCCATTTTTGGGGCGGTGCCGCTTGCCTTCTTTTCAACTTGTTCCTAGCAGTTCAGCAAATGCTCCGTCCCTCTTCTTGTCGGACGTGTACTACAGTCACCCTCTCATCCGCAACCGCAGACTTTCGCCGCCGCTCCTAACCCTACAGGGCACGCGGCGACCATGGCCTGCCTGGCAACACGATTGCTGGTCGCCGGTATCTTGGTAACTTTGGCCAGGGCCGCAACGCCAAACGAAAAGTCTCCCAACTTCATCCTGTTTACAAAGCGCTACGGGACCGTCTCCCCCGCGCCCTTCGTGATCAACGGAACCGGAATCAGAGCGGCTCAGGAGGAGCCGGACCTGATGACGTCAACGAATCTGACGTTTGTGACGTCAGGAGAGTCAAGACATTCAGAGCGGACGCAGCGCCAGAAACCACAGTTTGCGAAATCTGAGGCTTTTCTGGACGAAGGCACGACGACCCAATTCACTCAAGGAGCTCCATATCCATGGCCCGAAAATCTGGTGAGGTTTCAGGATGAAAACTTGGGATCAGTAGCGCGACGTCTGTCTAAAAGAATGTGATAACTAAGAATTCAGCTGGCCGCCGTTCATTCCCGTCGCTTTGTTCCCAATGTCCCCTTCCGGCGGAGATCGCTCTCAGTCAAGCGCCCATTCCCTCTTCCCAAATTTTATGGTTTTGCATAATCTAGGCGTCCCGAATCTGGCGCAACCCCCTTCTGTACGTACAGGTCTCGCCGCTCTTTGGCTTCCGTAATCTGTAAACCACAGTTTCTAAAGATCGCCCACCTTTCTTCCTTTATCTAATTGTAGCCGGACAGAAGAGTAAGCTTCCAAGAATCCAAAACCTTCATACCCTGCTCACCAGGTTCTCGCGCGACCAACCGTACTTGTCGCCTCTCCCAACGTCACCTCTTCTCCTGCGACTGATCAGTTGCATCCTCCAGATTCCTCAATCTCGTTTCAGATCTAACAATTTGCCACAATTCACCGTATAATCTCCAAGCCCTTGTTCCGCGCAGACCGTTCCGTGGCCGGCCGCGCCCGTCACCTTCTTCAACTCATTTTAAATCGTCCGTTCTTTCTAGGACAAACCTTCCAAGCCCTTTCTCCGCGCAGACCGTTCCGCGGCCGGCCGCGCCCGTGACCTTCTTCAACGTCAGCTTCCCTCCTGCAAGCGATGAACTACTTGTCTTTGACGGTATCGAGAATCTCGATCAGCAAAGTGCCGGAACGGGAGTTTACGCAAACACGAATCGTGCCCTCGAGCCGCCGGACGGGGGCCTCTGCGTTGGGAACGGTTTCGTGGTCCAAGTTGTGAACTCCGCTCTCGCCATCTTCGATTCCGGTTCCGGCGAGGCGCTGGTCGTTCCGGTGGCCCTCAACCAATTCTTTCAGGTGCGCGACACCGCTCTTTTTCAAACCTTTTTTGTTTCTAGCAAGTCACTGAGAAAGCAGGGCGCATGTTCGTTCCACTTCCCGGTCCTCAGCTCGCGAATGGCATGGTCTGCAACTGATTGTCGACAGGCCCGGGCCTCAGGGTTGCCCATATCAAGAGAAAGAGCTCTTCTTAGAGCTCTGGAAAGGGATACCAGAGTCACTGACAGAATGGAACGCCCAGAGTACTTCTTCAGCCTGCTATGAACCCGTCCGTGATCGGTGTCGTGTGACCTTACGTCATTCCGTTCCGGCCTTCTCAGATGGCTCCGTTCCGGATTCCGGCCCCCGCTGTCGGCGCCTTTCTGAGCGACCCCCGCTGCGTCTTCGACCGCGACACGGGCCGCTTCTTCGTCTCGATCCTCTTCGCGTCGCGCGACGCGGCCGCGGGCGCGTTCGCCGCGCCGACCGCGACGCTGCTCGCGGTCAGCGCGAGCGGCGACCCGCGGGCGGCGTTCGCGCTGTTCCGGTTGTTCACCACCAACGACGGAACGAACGGAACGCCGGACTTCCGGCCGGTGTGCCCGTGTTTGCTGGACATGCCAAGGGTTGCGGTAAACGGGGACGCGCTTATCATAGTCGGGGACTCGTTTGTGATTGCGAACGGCAGTTTTTTCTCGACGGACGTGTACGCGATGGACAAGTTCAAGCTGGCGGCGGGAGACTTAGCAGTGCTCACGGCGGCGTATATAAACAGCACGGCTACTCGTGTCCAGGTCATTCAGCCCTCTCCTTGCTTCTCTACAGTTCCAATTGTTCGTCTCTTCTAAAGATCTTCTTGTCAGCCTGTCCGTACCTACCCTTTCATTTTGTTTCGGTCATTTATTGCAAAGAGGATGCACTTGCCAGATCATGTCTTCCCCTCTTACCTTCCAGAGTCGGGTTCTTTCCTGAAATCCTGAGACCTGCCCGAAACGCAGCTCTTGATATACATTGAGCCGCTTTTTTCTACCAACGTTCTCTCCGGGTTTCATGGCCATGCATGGCGGCGCGACGGTATGAGATGATTCCGATCGATGTAGTGAACAGTAACAGCCAGTGAACAGTAACGGAGACGGGTAGGGTTAGTTAGGGGGTTAGGGTGGGTACGGGTGCGGAGCGGGTGTTTCCTTAGGTTAGGGTTTTTAGTAGCCCCAAAATGCTTACTGTTCACTGGGCTTGCTGTTCACTAGATCGAGAAATACGATGAGATTGATCCCGAGCCGGCCAAAAGTGCCTTCTGGTCAGCTTTTCCCGCTCAGCTGCCGTTCTCTTTGCTTCTCAGTGCTCGCCAAAATCGGATACAACATTCTGTCAGTTCGACTTCATATAAGATTCCAAACCCGCTCCTTGTCCCACAGGGAAATAGCGTCGCCCTGAATGTCGCGCGCGTATCCCCCGATGAGGCATTTCCGTCCGACGCGCGCGGCGTCGTGTACTTCGCGGCCGCCCTTGACATTAAGTGCGACGGCACGCCCGTGCGCCAGCTGGCGCTCTTTGCGCTCGTCGGCACGCGTGCGCTGCGCGCGCTGATCCCGTTCGTCGGCGGCGTGCAGCTCGTCCAAAGCGTGATCGACTCCCTGGTGAAGACGTCAAGAATTCTTTTGGTTGAAAGAGCTACGACCTTATCACTCAGGGATTGGCTGGTTTGGATGAGTTTGGTTGAGTGGCTTTGAGTGCGGAGCAGGAGAGTTGCGGGTTTAAAGCGCTTGAAAGTTGCCATCTTGTGTTTCCTAGTTTGGAAACTAATGACAAGGCATGTTAGCCCAGCGGACGCCCTTGTTTTGCATTGTTGTCCCCCGCAAAGTTTGTGAAAGACGCAAGCGAAACGGTTCGATCTGGCACGGGAAGTGGAACAAATACTATTCGCGAGGGACGAGCTGCCGTTTTGCGCTTTCTTTTAAGCCGGGAAACTTCGCGTGACAGAGACTTTCACTCGAAGCCAAAATGTGGAAACGCGCCCCTGGAAGAGTTTCAGCAGAGCACTTTGAGAAACTTCATGGCGCCTCAACCTAATATCTCCTAACCTTGTAGCTTCAAAGCAGACTCTTGGAAAGCTCTAGCTCTTTGATCTGCGTGTAGACGCTTTTGTACAGAATTCAAGCCTTTGTCTTCGACCAATCTATTTTGAACCTAGGTTTTCTCTTTTTGAAATATCTCTTGCTGTACTCTGATCATCGCTAGATGCTCACCCGCAGATCGAGTACAACAACTGTCAACTCGGCCTAAGCCGCACCGGCGGTCTCCCGGTCACTCAGAGGCCGGGGCCCCGACTCCTCAACACATCTGCGCCGCTCGAGCTTCTAGACAGCAACGGCGACTCTGTGCGAGAACCGGTCTTCGCCAACCGGTCACTCTTCGTCGCGCTCAACACTATAGTACCCGGTACAGCCACCCGACCACCGACAGTGGGCATCGCTTATTTCGTCATCACGCCTTCCGTCACCACGGTGGGTTTTGTCGTTGCCCCTTGAACTCGACCATGTGTTTGTCGTCAAAGTGTTCAAACCCTGACAAGACCTTCACTAAAACCCCAGTGCATTCTCGAAGTCCGATCTCTTCGCACCTGATAAGTTGCAGACATCCGTTGCAACGTCTTGACGCTGTCGACGAGCCCAAGTTTCGTCCTTTGAAATTTTATCATAGCACCGCCAGTTCAGAGCAACGTCTGCTTCGCTTTGCTTACTTTGCTTGTATATCCTGCCGAACGCGCTTTGCTTACTTTGCTTGTAGATCCTGCTGCGTTTCGTTGTCCTTAAGAGCCTCGTGCTTGTGCTCTGGGCATCTCTGCTTCTCTACCTGAGCGGTCGCAAAGTGAAATGCTCCTTTGCCGGAGTAGCCGCCTTTTCTTTCGTATTCGCCCCCTATTTTTGCACTGTATCCAGGCGGCCGAGCGTCGCAAGAAGAAGAGACACGCCACTAGCCCTGACGTCACCAGACGTCAGCCGGCAACGGTCACGGGGCAGGTGGTGACAGCTGGCGTCATCGCTGCGCCGAACGGGAACAACGTCGTCTTCCCGGCGTTTGCGATAGGCAGGAATGGCCGGGGGGTGGTTGGAGTTACGCTCTCGGGGCCGGATTTCTTCCCGAGCGTGGCGTACGTGCACTTCGACGGGAGCCACGGCCCTTCAGGTGACGTCACGCGCACGTCAGCGATTCATCTAGAGTATCAGGATTGGTTGGAGTGCTCGAAAGCTAGTACTGCTCTTCTCAACGTCCCCTGAATGAAACGAAAGCGACGGGTCGCTGGGAGGGGCAGCAGGTTGTCGAGAATATCCATGACCCCAATGTTCGTTAGTGCGAATATGGGATCAGGACTCGTATGGTCGATTCGCTGGAGTTGACGTTGAGTTGACATCACACTGGTTCGAACCCCGGCTCGATCTGTAGTTCGAAGAAAAATGGACGAAATTAAAGCGCTGAACCGATCGAGAAGCGCGAGCAAAATAAACGGGCTTTAGCCCCGATTTAGCTTTGCCGCATACCCAGGGAAAAGGTGGATTGACAGATCGTGCTTCGAAAGTCCGCGCTTCAGCAGATTGACAAGGGGGTCAGAATGTACAGGAGACAGGCTGAGGCGACAAGTAAAAGAGTCTGGTTGAGTCAGGCGATACAGAAACGATGCACGAACTCACTGGACGTGGAACTCGTTCTCAAGGTGTCCCGGAAATCTCAGGCTGCCAAGCTTATCGGTTGAAACTTTGACAGCAAAGTGGACAGTCCGCGTCGTTTCGGTTGCATAGAATGACCGTTCAGTCCTGCCCAAGGGCCCCTAAGTTTTTTTTCTCGTTTCTATGATCAATTCACCTTCCTCACCCGTGCGCGTCAGGTGACATCATCCTCGCGCGTCCGGGCGCGGCCCCCGAGGACGGTGTGACGGGTTACGTGGCGCTAGCCAGGGGTTTCCCGCAACCCGTTTCGCGCTGGGGGGACTATTTCATGGGGACCGCTGACGAGCAATCAAACTTGTGGTTTGGTGTGGAGTATATACCAGACCGGCCGCGGAGTCGACTGGCCAACTGGGGAACGGGCATCGTCAGGGTTTCCGCATTGAATGGCACCGAGTAAAGACGGGTGTTACCGCTGCTCCTCCGCGTCACTTTCAAATTGGCCACAATCAGCACTGGCCGAGATGACTCAGCGCTTCCAATGTGAGGGCAAAGATGTCAGACGCGAATTCGTCACGGTTTCGTTGAAGATCGACAGCAAAAGGACTAAGCATGACCCTTTTCAGCCACAAGCCTGAACCTTGTCAATGGTTTTATAGCAAACATTGTACAGCTTAGCTCGCAGTTGGACGTGTTGAAGTCGAATTTCCATGATCCGTCGCCATTGACTTCGTGCAATGATCTCACTGCCCGCGAGGACACACAATCCGTTGAAGCTGAGCCAATGCAATCGCTTTTTGCCAGTGGTTTGCGCCGGCGGCCGGCGCCCTGAACTCCGACCGACTGTAGAAAAGCTCCGCAACACTTCCCCATGTTGAAGGTTGAACGAGTTATGCACACGATTGCTTGTGTTGTCATGCACCAAGCGAGGCCTGGATCTGTGGCGCCTACGCTTGATCACAATGACATGCAGCTGCTATAAATTCGAGTATCAGCCTGGCTAAGGCCGGCCCCGGCGATGTTTGTATACACAACGCGAGTTATTCGCAACCAGTAAGCGCTGCATGCTGGATGGTTGGTAGTGTACACGTATGGTACGCGCTCGGAGGTTTCAGTACTTCATGTCCGCCAGCGGCCTGGCGGGCCCGGTGCGATGGCATGTGATTCTTTCAAAGTTTGAATGCAGAATCATGCTACAGCTTTGTGTCTTACTTTAGCTTACCCTTATCACCTTATCCGACGATGTGGTATAGATAGCATGTTTTCAAGTTTAGCTAAACCGTCGTGACGGTTGTCAAGGTTCACGCGCAATTGAACTTAAGCCAGGCTTTGAGTATACGTCGATTATAATGTAGGATCCGCTTTCGACAATGATCATTGAGTACTAAGTTTACTAAGTGACTGAATATATTGGTTCATCCAGAATCACTGCACGGTGAGTTAAGTTACTCAAGCCTGAGTGTGCGTGAAATGCGATGGCGGAGCCGCCCTGATTCATGCATATATACAAGCTCAGTGGCAGTCAAGCTCAGCTTGGTAGTTAGGTTCTTTGCGCGTCGTACCCGCCGAGCAGCCGCGCTAGAATCATGATGCAAAGTAGGGTATCACCGGCACGCTTGACCTTACTAAGAGCTGCAGTGCTAAACCGGCCTGATCTGACCCATGTCAGTTCGCGCTACATTCACCTAGCACTATTTCGCTCAATATGTATCTTTGAAACGACAAAGTTTAATCGATGGCTTTGGTCACGGCGCTGACCAAGACAATAACACCCGGCACGACCGCTTCTTGGTGTACGTGCCTGAGAGACCCATAACCTCGATTCTGAAGGGGCATCATTTGAACACGCCTAAGACCTTACCGTCGCAGATGTTAGATCACAATGGAGTACTAGGTATCAAGCAACACGACTTTATCAAAACTGCTTTGGTTGGTCCAACAACCAGGTAGTTATGTTGCAACTCATTCTCCAAGAGCTTCCGGAGGTGGTGGAATCAGGTTTACCCCACGGGAGTCAAGGGATATCAGTGATAGGTACCCAAAGGCTAAGACGACTGATATGATGCCGGTGACAATAGCAGTCACTTGTTGCCTATTTTCAACTGCACAGGAAGGCACCAAGGAAAAAGGGAACCTTCAGCATCCTGACCTCAAAGCTGTTCTGAAGACTATCGTCAGATGCACCATACACTTTCAGATAGATGATGATCAAGTCTCATATTTTCCAAAGACTATTGTCCTCTAGAACTCTGCAATGCCTTTCAAAGATCATCAGCAAAGAGTACTGTGATCAAAACTCTACTCATCAAGTGGTGGTGTACCAAGAAAATCTTTGTTTCTTAGAAGGAAGTCGTGGACAGTCACACTTGCAACTCTCATCCTGTGATACTCGATTTCCGACTTCGTCATTGATTTCTCTGCTGCTTTGCAAGTTGCCGCTCAGTGCCACTTGTCAACAGTGATCAAGTGTTTCTCATGTCTTTGAATCCAAGTCAGAAGCATTCACCTTCAACCTGGTATCATTGATGCTTTCACGTTCCCTGGCTTTCGAGATCTTAAGGAGATTCATCACACGCTGCGTTCAGTGTCTTCACAGAAAGTAGTCCATCATGATGATGCCCCCCACCTTTGAAGCCTGCTTCTGGCTTGCTCTCCTCGCCCTTCTTGCTCTTCTCCTCCAGCGCATCCCTCAGCAGAGTTTCCTTCGCTTGTACCTCCTTCTCTGCATCGCTTGGTTCTTCCGCCTGTACTCTCACTGACCGCCGCGGTCTCAAACCTCTTCTAACCTGCAATCCTAGCCGCAATGCAACGCCCCGTTTCGAAGATGAGTCCTTCCCAAACAATGCCGTATAGTCTGCCCCTTTCGATACGTAAACTGAGGTGCTTTTCGACTGTGCAGAGACTTGTCTTGGTCCCGCCGGTCCTGAAAACAAGCGGACCCTGCATTGCACGCAGAGAGGCTGTTGCACCACTCCTATCAAACGTGCTTCTTGTGAAGCTGCTTTCTGAAACTGGCTTGGATCAAGGGGAGCAACCTTGCATGCGAGATTCCCCGCGGTGGCGGCCATTGTCCCTACTCCTTCTCCCCCAAGTAGCAACTCAAAGCCGCTGTCTTTTTGAACTTCAAGAGCGTGTCTGAAGACTGAAGTCTATCCTGGCAGAGTCTTGGGATTCACTGTCAGTGGGAAGGAAGCTGCTCAAGATTCTGAAATGAGGCACCAGCCAGGCTCAGATCTAGGGCAAGGGTTAGTCTGGGTTACTCAGATAACCTTGTTATTCTGAAATGTCAAAACACCGTGGTCATTCCAGTAGCTTCCGAAAACCTGCGAGAAAACCCCCTGGTTAAGTTTTGCTGCTGTCAATCCACCTCTAGCTAGGCGGTCTGCAGCAACCTTAACCCAACCTTAACAGTACGTGCAGTGAAGAATTTGGTGAACCAAACCTGTTTTTCAGGACCATACGCTTCCACTTAACCGTTCGTGGGGTGCAAGCTCAAGTGAAAGAGCTGAGATCTGTTCAACAGCATTTAATTCATTCTACATTGAAGACAGCCTTCATGCAGGCTTCCGCCATGGCTTCTGTTTCTTGCCTGCGGTCTGCCTGTCAGCTGGCTTCGTTGAGCTCCTCCTCCATCGCCAGAGCTTCTACCAGAAAATCTGTTATCAGCATTGAGCATGTGCGATGGTTGCCGCCTCTTCTCCACCAACAGCTGAGCAATGCCGGGGTTTTGACTGGCATTCGACAAACTTTTCCTTGCGGACGAGTTGCAGGAACAACGGTGAGATGTTCTTGGATGTTGTGCTGTCAAGAGGTTACAACCTTAAGTGTTTGGAGAATCACTATCTTCCGATTGGTTCTTTTCGATACAAAAGCCGCTTTAGGATGGTTGGCAATACACATTGCTTTTCCAGCAATACGGAACTGAAGTGTCTCTTTCTTGTAGTCATGCTGCTGTTCTTTGATGCTGGGGCCACTTACTCTGTTGTAGCTGCGTGTTAGGTGGTTTGAGCGAATCGGATCTGAAGACAGTTGTTTGACCGGGCATGTTATCTTGGCGCATGCCTGCGGAAAACGTGCATTCCGGTATTCGTCTTGTTTGACCTGTTGCTATCAATGACAAGTCAGCTAGCGCAAGAAGGAGGGCCGTACTATAGCTGGCCTCCAGTTTGTGAAGACCGGAGATAGTAATAGAAAGTCATTTGCTATGCTTAGGAAAATTCACCTTGAAGGACTATTTTGCACCGATAGGCCCTTCCACCAGCAGCCATGTTCATCCGCACACCAAGGTCGCCCCCTCGTAGATCTGTATGAAGAGCGGTAAACCGAGTCAGCTATTAATAGGGCCCCGCCATGGAGCCAGTAAAATGTTTTTCATTTGGCATCATTAAAATTGAAGCATTACAAACATGAACTTCCTAGGGCCACCCCAGAAAGTGCAGATCAAACAAAGCCTCTTTTCGGTCTGTGCTCAATCCACTGTGGGGAGTGGGGTTCGAGGCCCAACAAGGAAGGGGCGGCGGAAAGCTTTCCAATCCACAGTCAGCATTTATAAAGAATTATCAGCGTGCGTTAGAACGTGGGAAAGGACAAAAAGGCACTCCGGAGCCTCCCTACAATTTACTGTACTGCTGCAAGAAGAGGTAGAAGCAGCAGGGTGATACAACTTGTCCATCATTATGAAAGTAGGAGGAGACCGATGGCGCACAACAAGATTGCACTTCACTCATTGTAGCGTGGCTGTGACTTACTCACAAACTGTGTTGATCCCACCATTCAATCTATTATGGCACCGCTGATCAAAACTTGCTTCTCATCTGCAGAGAATCGCTCAGGTATGCCGCGCTGTCGCGACCGAGGCCCCTGCTCAGGCATCCGAGTTCCTGTCCAAGACGGAGCAGGAGTTTGAAGGAGAGCAGCTGCTTCACTCCGAGGTTTACAAGACTGGGGACGGTTACACTGTGCTCATCAGACAGCCGCTTCAGGGGGCAACTCTGCACTGGGGCGTCAACAATTGGTCGCTGGCACCGCAGGAGATTTGGCCCGAGGGTACGGTGCAGGTGAGAACTGCGAGGACTCTGTTCTGCGCAAGAGACTATCCCTACTGCAGCATAGAAAGCCGCATGTGCTGACAACCCCCTCTTTCTCAAAGTCCTTTACAGTAGCTATCATTCAGAGGTGATGCCTGACGAAATGAGCACCAGCGAAAGGCTGCCTCCATCCCAGGGCTGCGCATTTGAAATCTGGCCACCTCCCAACTGGTCCAGTAAATCTACTAACACTGATACCTTCATTTGGGAAGGGAGCTTTCCGCGGAGAATTCGCATCTGTTCCTTTCACAAGACAAACAAAGGGGCTGTTCAGAGTTCCTTCCCCACTCGAAGTAGGCCCAGGACGGAGCTCATTCCTTAGGAATAACTCCTTTATCCAACATCGCTCTCAATGACGGACGTTGAGGAACTTCGGATATGAGCAGTCAGGACGAATCAGATATGAATCGGTTTTCACGTCCTCTCTCTTGTAGTGAGAGCACAGCGCTTTCCAGAGCCCCACACATCTTGCAACTCAAATCAACCACAAGATCAAGTTCACGCCTTCATTTTTTTCTGACATGATCGACGACAACGCAGTTCAGAGCCTGTTCCCGACTCAGCCCCACGACGGGGCGTATGCGCTGCAGATCGCCCCTCTTTCCCCATGTCTCTTAAAACAGCCTTTGTCAAAGCAGCAACCTCTGACATGGTAGTCATAATAGACCATCAGGACTATTGAGACATGAACGTGTCTTGACGGGCTATCTTTTGTTGTGTCAGATCGACGACAAAGCCGTCCAGAGCCCGTTCCCGTCCGAGCCCCGTGACGGCGCATACGAGCTGCAGCTCACAATGCCTGAGAGCGCTGCACCCCGGGCAATCCAGTTCGTGCTCAAGGACGGGGACAAGTGGTACAACGGGCCGTTCGCGGGCAACTTCGTGGTGCAGATTAAGCAGCCGGGCGTAGCAGATATCGTGGACCAGGTAAGAAACTCGTTCGGTTGGAAAGGGTTCAACATTGTCAGCGAATGTGACAGGCGATATCAAGGACGGGGACACTTGAAATGGTACAACGGGCGGTTTGCGCTAAGCTTTGTGGTCCAGATCAAGCAGCCAGGGGTGACGAATTTTCTGAACCAGGATCAAGCAGCCAGGAGCGGCGGTCGGTGTGGAACAGGTGAGAAATCAGAGAGGAAATCGTTACTTTTCCACGCTGGAAATCGGCAGTGATTTCCATATGCGGTCTTCAGTGGTTCGGCGAGCATTTGTCAGACGGTCGAGAGTTCTGAGTGAGCCCAGGGAGTCTAGATCAGTCGGACTGGTCGGAAGCGGAGCTCTGAAGGCTGTTCCTGCCAAAGGTCCGCGTTTTGGGTGGGATTCGGACACGGTCGTCCGTTTTAGAGGATCGTAAATCGGTCGGAACTTGCGGGTACTTTCATTTTAAAAGCTTGACTTCCTGCTTCGCGGACATTAGCCTTTGCAACCTTAGTGCATGGTTTGCACGTACTCCGGCATCAGCATGCGAATCGCTCAACACCCAACTTGCCTTGGTGCCATTGGGGTGGGGATCGACAATTCTCAAGTGTGCTCATCAAGAACTTCCCCGTAGCGGGTCGACCTAACCAGTTGCGGTCAGTTGGTCTCGTTTGAGATGACCATGTGGTTCGCCAATCATGTGGCAATGATGACACTGTTCCTGAGGTTCTGCCCACAAAGTGTCCTCTCAACTCTGAAGCCCCTAGGTCATGAAAGTTCAAACGCAATTTTCAAGCTTCCACGGGGTTTGACGTCTGAAACTTGTCAAAGCAATGCCGTTCTGGACCCTGACTCTTAAGGATTGGCTGGTTTTGCTCTAGTGCGGTTGGCAGCTTGTCAGTCGGGTTGCTCGTGCTGGCGCGGAGTTGATTCTCAATTAAGACAGTGCCATCGTGAAAGGCGATCTATCGATCTACCTTTGAATTGATCCTGCAGTGAGAGTTTTCCAGCAAACTGGGCTTTTCCCAGCGAAGATTCCTGAGCACAGAAGCCACCACAAATTGTAACGGATTGAAAGACGCCTCAAGTAGAGCAAGCGGTACGGATGAGCTGAGTTGCAGTCTCATTTATCTTGGTTTTAGAAGCCTTGGAGGCCAGCAATCATTAGCGGGCCTGCCACATCATCTGGACAATTCTCTCTTTGTTGCTTGAAAACGGCGCCATCACATGGTAGCCAGCGATGTTTGTTTCACCTCGTTGACGCGATTTTGTCATGGTCGAGTTCGTTTCTTGTGCAAACGATTGAGTTCTACGCGGAGCCGTCATCCCGGCCGTCGAGTCCGGCCCCCTTGCGATCAAAAATTTGGCTCCAATCTAGTTGACGGCAATGAGGACTCATGCGGGGGGTTGGGCGTCCAGCCTGAACTCAGAACTCCTTAACGGATGCCACTGGCGGAGGCAGACATGTCCTTATTCGTCAATATCGATACTGGGGGCTACTCTAATGATGTATATGTGTGGCTACCAGCATCCGGGATCGTCGTCTCTTGTGCTGTTCAGCCTTTGGCCGCAGCCTCTGCGTGAACGCGTGCATACTACTTCGAGCGAGGAACTAAGCAAACATATTGATCTGGCCTTCGATCCTGTTGTCCCTTACAGCTTGATGCTGTTTGATGGTCTTGGTGATCGACGCCAAGGTCAATTACAGCAGCTGTCCCTGTTCCGGCACCTTGACGTTTGTCGAGTGAAAACCTGTTGGTCAGCTCCAATTTTTATCCCACTGAAGTTTCTTTCTGTCTCATGCGCAGGCGTTGACGCCGAGGCGAACTACAGTCACTGGTCCCTCTTCCAGCGCCTTATCACGGCCTGTGACCTGTTCCGGCGCCCTTCTGCGGTCCGCGCATTGAACTCTTTCTGATCAGAATCCACTCCATCACTGGTTCAAAACCTTCACTGACCCTTGTCTTGTGTGGGCGCAGGCAATTGATGCTGAGGCGAACCCCAGCAAGTGAACTATCTTCCAGCACTAATGTTCGTTAGGCAACTGCTCTTCGGGTCAGATTTTGCCAGTTTCGTCAGTTGCCTCAATGAAGCTGCCTTTTTCTTACGTGCAGGCGATCGAAGCCGAGGCGAACTACAGCAACTGGTCCCTCTTCCAGCGCTTCATCATGGCACGTGACCTGCTAGACCCCGCCGAACAGGCGGGCCCTTCCGGGATGGCCTTCATCTACGTGTGGCTGCGGCTCTCGGCCAACCGGCAGCTCGACTGGTACCGCAACAGCAACTACCAGTCCAAGGACATCGCACATGTGCAGAAAGTGAGTCCGTTTTTTCTTAGATGTTTGTGTCATCACGCTAAGGTACCGTTAAGCAACTTTCTTGGGACGGAAAGATCCACGGATGTTCTTGCGGTGGTGTGGGCCAAGTCATTGCCGGGACACTGCAAGGTTGAAATGCTCTCACTCTGGCTCGATTTGAGCAGCTTAGCAGATGACTGGACTCTCAAGGCAGCCCTCCCGCTTCTCCGCCTGATGAGAGACTAAACGGTGATGCGAACACATCTCGCTAGCATCTCGCTAGTCTGAGCCGTTTGTTCAACCGGTCGCTTGAAAATGTTGGCATGCGGTCTTCCGGCACTTCATCGATGGCTCCGCCAGCCTGCCTTGCATTTTTCTTGTCCCTGCTTTCAATCCACTACGCTACTGGAGCTATACATTTCTTGCTTGACTTTACTCCTGCTTAGTGGGCAGCAATGCCGAACGGAAGCGCTTGGCAGAAAAGCTCCAGTTTCGCCAGATTTTTTCCGATGCTGCCCGATCTGGAAACCATCACCATGCGGCCTGGAGCAAGACCAGTCATAATAGCTAGAATGCGACTTCGGTGCCCTTCCAGATATAATCTCCTCACCCTTGTTTTCCAGTGCAACGGCAGGTCATGGGCTTTTCGAAGATACTCTTTTGCCGAGTCTTTCTGTTCAACCCCAGCTTTTCTCAGTCCGGCTGCAACTGTGTCGATGACATTGAGCAGTTTTATAGTGGGTGTGGAGAGAGCGGCTATGACGAATATCGCTTTCATTGGCAATAGTCGTTTGCCACCTTCTGTTCCTTCCATGTGCCGTTACAACACAGCCTTACATAGCCTTCTTTCTGCGGGCTAATGCTTTTTCGAAGCCTCGAGAATAATCATAGAGGAGGGCTCGGCCTGTAGCAAGATTACTACATTTCAACAGCCGTCAACCATGTGGCGAGACGGCGTGGTTTCCCAGCAAACATTATGGGAACCAAAGTAAACATAGGTTTCGATCTCAGGCTCTGCTATGGTCAAGCCGTGGCAAGGCTTGTCAACAATAGCGGAATCAAAGTGGCTGAAGGAACGGCTGCTTTTGTTCGCTCGTGATCGTCAGTGTCCCACGTTTAACGAGTCTGAATGTGTGTTCGTTCCCATTATCCGGGCGGCAGTGACGAAGGCAGAGCTTCTTCTTGAAAACCGGGAAGGGCACCCCGCCGGACATCGGAGCCGGATTGTACCGTGGGAGACATGGCTTTGTGGAGCACCTTGCTCATCAACTCTTTAGTAAACCTTCCCTTTGCAATATAGAGGCGGGGGGTTCTCGAATCGTTGACTGCGTCTGGAAGCGTTTGGCAATGGGTGCACGTTCATTCTGTTCACTTAGGTTCGGTAGCCATGATGGGCGGAACAGCTGCAAAGTATCTGCACTTGGATGATGTCCTGAGACTGCCAGTCTCCTTGGTTTCTGCTTTCATCGCGTGCGCACCCCTTTCTCTTCTTTAAAGCCTTTGCTTGCGCCTACAGAGTAGGCTGGTCTGTCAAATGCAACTTCGCTTGCTTGTCACTCGTTTCGGGCCAGCCTGAGAGACTCAAGATTCTGTCTTTAGCGTGTCGTTGAGTCTTTGGACTCTGATCCCCGGCTATATTAGCTAGCACAACGAATTTTCAGAGAGCACGCGTTCCTTGACATAAATGGTACGTACACTCCACACTTGGGCAGACCGGCTTCACCAACAACCTTTGCTTGCTCGAGCAGTATCTATGCGTTCTGCGTTGAAGCTATTCGCTCGGAATAGTCCTGACTGCTCCTCCGAATTGATTGTTTGGCCTGCCTCGTTTTCCACTGTGTCGAATAATGGAGCACTGCCCGCTCATCCGCAACGCGTGAGGCAGCAGAAATGAACGTCGGGATACTTGAAAGATTGTCTTTTGCTGCAGACTCTCTTTCATCTGCCAAGGACCTCCAGATTTTCCAGCTTTGTGCTGCCAAAAGACCACAAAGAAAGTTCGTTTTTTGCTTCGCTGGCCGACCCCTTTAGATTACGAGGACAGGCAATAATCTCAATTAGAGCAAGCAAATAGTTGAGAATGGTTGCAAGCCGTATCGATTTTGAACGCTTGGAGTCCCTTTCTTCCGTGAGTATTCACAGCTTTGACGACGCAAAAGGATTGGCAGAGCTTTCTCTGTCTCTGTCAGGGTTTGGTTTGAACGCTGCCGATGCTGTGAGCTACACATAAGCTTCGGCGATCATTTGATAAAAGCCGCTAACCCTGACCCGCTTGCCAGTCTGTTGGGCTTCAAGCGATTTTAGATTTGTACTGAAAGTCATCGGATCCTCTCCCACAATTGCAGACCTATGTTTCCAGATCTTGGACATGCAGTCCCAACATTCGACGGTGATCTTCTAATCAACGAACCGGATCTGAGCTCGTTGTCTGGTAGCGAGCGTTGCTTAATGTGGCCATCAGGTTTAAACGATCAGGACGGCTATGATAATTGCCGGTGCTTGGCGAACGATCTTCCGCCAATCATCAAGGGAGTCTTCTGATGCTGTCGCTTCCAGTGGCTATCGTCATATGTGCCTCTGAGTAGATCTTTTACAATCCTGCCGCTTCGACTCCGGTCGTTCTTGTGCAAAGCGGGTACGTCCAAACACTGGACAGGGCAACAACTTTTCAGGCTGGGTTTGCGTGGTGACTCGGGGGTCAATTCTTTCCCATCCATGCAAGATTATTACCACGTAACGCTTAGCGCGACTCTCGTTTGCAAGGCAATTTCCTCTTGTTCTGCATGCTTCAGTCCTGGCAAGCAGGACGACTCTCAATCTACGGCTTGACTACTTGCCGTTTTTTCTTCGCCGGTTCTTTCTGTGCAGAGAAAATTGGACAACATTGTCAAGTCCCTGTATAGATTTATGCACTCTCAGGGTCGTTATAAGAAGTCAAACCGAAGTCGGCCCTGGCGACTGAAGACATTTTCAATGCGGTCGGCTGGTATTTCCTTTTTTGGCTGTTTTTCTTTCTGCCCTTGTTCTAGGCTTTGTCTTTCCAGTCATCCATTTCCTCCATGTCCGTACTCTGCTCCATTATTGTGGCCGTGTGTTCGCAACCGGCTTTTCCTTCTTCCGTGAGCATCTCGTGATATCCTACGGATTGCCTCTTTCCGTCCGTGTACGTCTAGTTTCAAGCAGCCCGCTGGCCCTGAAATATTGACAGGGGCTAGTCAGTAACTGATTTTTCGTGGCCCTGATGCCGCTGTGTAGTTAAGGAGTTACGTGCCATTCTAGATTGGGAGCTTTTGGCGAGTATCAAGGATGATTTGTCACCTCCTTTTGTTCTCCTGGTGCTTACAGCACTCCGATTGACGTTTACGGACGCAGCCTTTGTTCGCAATTGATGTAGTACCACGGTTGCTCTTTTCGGACGTTCCTCTCAAATCTGAAGGACCTGTACGCTGCAGCGAAAGTCCTTTGCTCGTGGCATCATGCTGCGGTTATTAAGCCGAGCTTTCGTCAGGTGTTTGGGGACCCCCTGTTTTGTATTTTGTGTGCCAATATCTCCGTTTTATCAACGAAGGACAACGGTGACGAGCACTGCCCTTATCAACGAAGGACAACGGTGACGAGCACTGCCCTTCACAGGCTTTGCGTGTCAATAGTCTACTCCTTTCGTCAGAAGCTGTCGCCCACAGTGAAGTAAGCAATTTGTGGACCTCTCACTGAAGCTTTGTGGGAAAGCAATTTTGTGGGTATGTGCAGCTGCCTCACCTTTCGAGGTAGCGTGAGCCAAATGGGGTCAAGGTGATGAGACAGAGATCTTGTGCACATTCGCGAAGTCGTGTGCATGGGGCCTTGCTCACCGTTTCTGCCATCAACCCGCAATTGTTGCAGTTAAAGAAACTTTTACTTCCGCATCATGCCTTGGCAGAGGTTCAAGGGTTCCAATGGGTCGCTACCAATTCTTGAGCGCTGTTGCTTTGGCCTTGTTTTTGTGTTTCGTCTGTACAATTTGGCTTAGCAAACGGCACGGACCTTCAGGCCCACGTGGATTCAATCAGGGGCCATGATGTGGTTCTCCACCCTCTGTGTGACACGTGCTCCGAACACACTTGTGAGCTTGAGGTCTTGTGAAGTTTTCACCCGCTGCCTTTTGCCGTGCCTTTCACTTTGTACCAGTCATGAGTAGCAACGACGAGAAAAGCTCTTGCTTCCAAACCGGGCAGGTATGCTCCGTGCCTCTTCTGATGCTGCCGGTAAGGATTTGCGGTCCAAACGCTTGCCTTGCTATATGACATGTGCGTACTTGACGAACGCTCTTCTGATAAGGTCAGCCTGTGGTAAGAAACGGAAGCAGTTGGCGGTTGCCAGCACCCAAAACAAACTTTCGTCGAGGCACTCTCATTGGAATCGTGCGGAGCTGCAGCTACCCCCTGGTTTCTCAAAACATCCTTGTGTGGCAACTTGCTTCAGAAGTAGCGGGCGCCACGTATTACCAGATAAATTCCGCAGATTCAGCACATGTGAATCCCGGTCACAGGAAGGACTGCAACAAGTGTAGTTTAACGTGCCCTACAAACAACTGCGGCCTGCGAAGCGAGCTTCTCAATCCTTTCTTACGCATCTCAATTTGCATCAGGCCAGCTTTGCGGAGCCTTTCGCGAGCTGTCAAGCACTTAAATAGCTGGCAGTAGTTGCTGAGGCAGCAATGATGACCGAGCAGGATGGCGGCAACAGCCAGAGCCGAATGAAGACGTTTGTTTGATGCTGCCCCAGCCTCAATTTTTAAGTTGCCTCTATTCATTTGCGTGGCCGCGTTGCTCAGTCTCCTCGACGGTTGTCCTGAGCTTCTTTCGCTGTTTCGCTTTCTGGCCAGCCTGCTTCTTTGCCCTTGTATTGTCCCTTAATTCGGTGGTGGGCAGTTGAAATCTGAGCACAACAACGTTTGGCAGCGTGAAACTGGAAGTAGAGCTCCTCGGAACCTGCTTGCTACCTTATCTATGTTTATCTCAAACAGTCCCCCTCGATAGTGATTGACTCCACAATTTTTCATCTGTGAGTTACAGCTATGATGCCTGCGGCTTCTTGGCAGGGTTGAACCTGTCATGCTTATCGATCAGTCGCTGAGCTGTTGGTTAGCCGTGACCTTATGGGCAGCTGATTGGGTTGATGCAGGAGAACAACATGCTGCTTTTACGTGTGGATGGCTCGTATCAGGAGCCGACCTTTCATCGTTCTGAAACAGTACTGCTGATATACCCCCCTTGTCTTAATGAAAGCGGCACGCCCAACACAGATTATGAGAGTGCGATGGAAGTTTTAGCGCCTTCGGCGCACAAATGTTCCAACCATGTCGAGGCCCTTCAAACCTGCTTACGCTCTGAGTGCACCATTGAGTGTACCTTTTTCTCATCTTTTGCTAGACAGTCCGATTGTTGATCGTGTGTGAGGCAATTTGTCTCCTTCTGACGTTCGTCTGATGGAAGTTGTCCGGTTAACAACGTCTGGCAGCAGTGATGATGTCTGGCTTTGGCAGGAAGCGTCCAGTCACAGAAGATTGACATCTGACGCTGTCGCACATGATAAGTCGGAACCTTGGACGGTTTGAACGTAGTTAAAGAGCGTCATGGTGGGTCTTTCAAACAAAGTCTCATCTCGGTGTCTTTTGAACCGGTCTCCGCTTTTGCAAGCTGCGAGCACTGCTCCTCCAAGCCACGTAGCTTGGAGATACATTTTGCCAGGCACATAGTTTATGGGCAGTCGGTCTTGGCCCGATACTACCGGAGGGGCTGCAGGCTAACGCCGGCTTCCCCTGCTTCCTCCTTAATAAAGTTCATTTCATATGCCTCACAATCTTCTTTTCGGGCACAAAGCTTATGGCATTTCAACGGGTGCAATGTACTAGTGGAGGGTATGCACGCAAGGCCCGCCTCGTCAAGGAACCCTCCTTCGTTCCCCCCTTTCGATCCACATGCTCCAAATCATCAAATATCCGAGCACTAAACATATGAAATAACCCCTTCAGTCACCGCAATGCTCAAGGATACGTCATCTTGTGCAGGTTCTAGCAGAGGGGATGCACGATAAGTCCCGCTTTGCCATGGACCCCGCGGTCCGCCGATTCGCTCGCATGGCCATGGGGACTCTTCCGAGAGGCGGAGGCGACTCCGAGCAGATCCGAATGGGCATCCTGCACATCATGCGAGAACACGGGATCAGGGAGGGACACAGGTACAGAGCCTATCCTGATGAAACGTCCTTTCTTGTTCTGAGCGGACACAAGCTGTACATGAAGAGGGGACTCTGAACAAACACAATCGGCTGGGATTACTTTATCTTGAAACGGAAGAGGACTCGTATGTGCAATAAAACTACTTGAAGCTTGTAAGTGGGCGCTCTGCAAGTCACAGGAAGCGTGAACTCAGGAAGGGCCACACGCAGTATCCGGCAAGAGTCCGCGACTACTATTGATACGACCCTTCTCCTACGTTTCCCAGTTTGCATTCCGGTAAAAAAACTCTGACTCTGAAAACCACTGTTTCCTGTTCTCTAGGCCTGGCATCGAGGAGAAGTTCTTGGAGCAGTGGCACCAAAAGCTGCACACCAACACGACTCCCGAGGACATCACCATCTGCGAAGCGTACCTCGCATATCTGCACACTGCCAACCACGACGACTACTTCCGGGTGCTGTGGGACAACGGCAAGATCTCAAAAGAGCAGCTGGAAAAGATGGACCATCCGATTAGCTCGTGGCCAATGCACCTGCCGCACCTCATCCCCGCTTTCCAAGTGAGCTTAGAGCTTCGCCCATGTGATTGTCTATCCTATTTTGCTTATTGGGTTAGTGATTGTTTGGTTTCCGACGTACATCGGTGGGAGCATTCGAAAAGATGGGCCGCCCGATTAGCGCGTGGCCGATGCACCTGCTGCATTTCATTCCTGCTTCTCAAGTAAGCGTTTGGATCAGTCATACGCTTACTGTTGGTTTTACCTTGTTGATGAAAATGGTTGCACAACTGGAAATGTGCGCCAGCGGGAGCAGCTCAAACCGATGGACTAATCAGTCGCTGCATGGGGCCGAGGCATATACCGTACCACATTCCCCTAATCCTGGTAGTCTTGCGTTTCGCTCATGCTTTCTTCTTCCTTTCTGCGGTGTTGGGTCAATACTTCAGCCTAGGGCAGCGTCCAAACTAAACATTCCAAGTCAACGGACCGCCCCAAAATCTGAGCTGCAGTATCTTTAGTTCCTTCGAAGTTTCATAAAAGGAAAGTCTTGAACAATCAACCAGATACTGAAGCCCAGGCTTGTATACAACAGTATTCCGCTCCTTTGCAGCACTCCCTCTGAATTCTGAAGACATTACATGCGGGCGCCAACATAGACACCCTGTCAAAGGTGGTCTGAAGCGCTGTTTGGTCTTACGTATCCTTTCCAAACTAATTCATGTGGGCTCCTTAACCGTTTGGTTCTGATCTACTCCATTTTCTTTTTGCAGCACTTGTGGATCCTAGAGACCGTGCACGAGGGGGCCAAGATGTGAAAGTGGTCTGTAGCGGTCTTACCTTCTACGGATCCTTCCGACTTCTGATCCTTCTGGCTTCTGAATCGTCCGGTCTCTGATCTACTCTCCATTTTGTGCAGCACTTTTTGTGAATCCTGAAGATGGTGCACGCGGGCGCTAACATGGTCACAATGGTGACGTTGGTCTGAGCGTTCGTTCAAACTTCCGAGTCCCTGGACGTCCGATCTTTCCGATTGACGAACTTTCCGATTCCTGAAACCTTACGTTTCTCCGCAGCGGTGCACGCCGGCGCCAACACGTACGCCTGGTGGAACCTAACCCAAGCGCGTTTCTGAGCTGACGATTCTTTCCGAAATTTGATCTTTTCCGTTTTCGGTTTCTCTGCAGCACTTCTGGTGCATTCTGAAGACGGTGCACGCGGGCGCGAACATGAACGTCCTGGTAGAGATTCTCGGAAGCCCTTTAGATCAGTCCTGTGACCGGTTCTTCCATCTTCTGAACTCTTTATTTCCGATTTCGCAGCACTTCTTGTGGATTTTGAAGACGGTGCACGCGGGCGCGAACATGGACACAACGATGAAGGTGGTCTTATGCGCTCTTGTGGATCAATGATGTTCGTTTCCTTTTTTTCGCAGCACTTTTTGTGGATTCTGAAGACGGTGCACGCGGGCGCGAACATGGACACTATGGTGGAGATGAGCAAGGGCCAACTGTCGGACGATCTCAAAGGCGACCTGTACGGCATTCTCGGCGACAGAGAAGCCTGGTAAGGCCCACGACATTCTTACTTTACTCATGGAGGGACAGCGGAGGCATCCGCCCGACGGGCGATGTTAGAAAATGATGGGCCGCAACGATCTCGTGGCCAAATTCGCTTCGGAATTCGATGCACATCGCCGATCGAGTAGGGTATTGATTTCAAGCGGGTTGCTGACTGTCAAACGAACTAAAAGGCGACCTGTACGGCAGCCTCGGTGATGAAGAAGCTTGGTAAGGCGCTTCAGAGTACCACAGCTTATCAAGGAAAAGTGGCACATCTGAATTCTGGTCGCCCGACCGGTGTCTTTCTGGACAAGACGGGCCACACCCCTAAACTCATCCTGCAAGGGTCGGAAAATGTCAGCGGCAACGTGGTGATAACGAGGGAGAAACTCGAGCACGTGTCAAAAGCGGACTCGGCTGACCTTGACTCCGCCCCTACTTGACTTCAGTATCTTCCGTTCAGGTTTATTGGATTGGTTTCTTCATAATTGAAGCAGAATTCGCATCCCTCCTATTTTCCTTAGCTGGATTCAGGAAACGAGAGGGAAACTTGAGAGACGTTTTGAAAAGCAGACGGGGCGGACGCGACACTCGTCTGCTCGACATCGTTATCGACAAGTACTCTCTTGTGCCGGTTGGTTTTTTGAAGCAACTTCGAAGTCACACTCTCCTCTTCCCATCCAGGTGGATCCCGGAGAAGTTGATGGGAACGCGGGAGAAACTCGAGGACGTTTGAAAGTTGGACCGTGCCAAAGTTGGACCGTGCCAGATGCGATACTTTTGTGCTATACTCATTATCTTCCATTTAGACTCTCTCAACAACGCTGATTCTGAATCTCATTTTTATCGTTATCCCTCTGGTGGATCCCAGGTAAGCTGGTGAAGTCGAGGGAGAAAGTCGAGCACGTCTGGAAGGCTGACTGGGCCGGCCGTGATCCTCTCTTGCTCGACGACCGCTGCCGGCCGTTTGCCTTTGCGAAAGCAACTTTGAAGCTACGTTTCATCTCTTCTCATCCAGGTGAATTTCAAGAAAGCTGGTGGAAGCGATGGAGAAACTCGAGCACGTGTGGAAGGCGGAATGGGCCGGTCGCGACACGCTGCTGCTTGACATCGCCCTCGACAGACACTTCTGGCCGTTTACCTTTGCGAAAGCAATTCTGAAGCTACTTATCGATTCTTCTCATTCAGGTAGTTCCTGGAAAGCTGGTGGAAACGAGGGAGAAATTCGAGCATGTCTGGAAGGCGGAACGGCGGGGATGAGACATGTCGCTACCCGGATATAAGGTTTTCAATGATACGCTGACACAAAATCTGAATTGCTGAACCTGTCAGCCTTGATTCCTCAGGTGGGTTCCCGGAAAGCTGGTGGAAGCGAGGGAGAAACTTGAGGGCGTGTGGAGGGCGGACTGGGCCGGTCGTGACACGCTTCTGCTCGACATCGCCCTCGACAACTACTTCGGCCTGCGCATGGCGGCGGTCGACAAGAGCTCGCTGGGCGGAGACGACTTGATCGAGCTGGTGGCGCTTATGCTGCGAAACGCAAACATAGGTGAGTCTTAAGTTGCTATTTCGAGGCACTTAATTGTCTAAGTTGACGTTCGCAGATTGCCAATTTGTGTACGCGTTATTGCTGAGGCTGAAGACTGAGTTCTGAGCGGCGATCAACGAGAGCTTAATCGCGTGGGATGATTTGGTCGAGCTTGTGGCGCTTATGTTGCGGAACGCAAACATAGGTGAGGCTGAGATGTCTATGGCTGAGGTCGGAGAGGTTAAAGCGCTGTACGCAGGCCGCCTTCATGGTGTCAAGGTTGATAGTGCGTAGGTGCAGACACTGATCATGGGCAGGCGCGTTTCTGAGCTGGAAGACTCTCCTCTCGGCGTTTGTCTGTTTGGTCGGTATCGAACCGATGTTTGCGTTGTGGAATGAAGCTCCAAAACTCGGACACAAAAGAGTAAAGAGGGATTAGATGTGGATGCACTTGCGATTTTGACGCCTTTCTTACTGGAGCGCAAAACCTTGCCTTGGAAGACCTGCGATTAAGACGTTGCTCTCCTGCCAAGAAACGAGTCGGCAGAGCGTAGAACAATGCTGGGCAAAGACTGGTCGCTGCTTGCTCTATTTTGAAACCGCCCACCTGATGGTGAAACATATTTAGCGCAATCTCCTTGCCGGTTACAAGTCGGCAGACTTGGCTGTGTGTCGCGAACAAGGTGACCGGTCAAGAGCAGAGGGCCAAAGACTGATTGCCGCTCGCCGTTCGTTCCTGTCTTCCTTACTTTGCTCGAAGTTTCTTTTCCGTACAATCTTTCCGTTCTGCAGGTAACGAGTCGGCAGAATGGTACCTAAAACCTTTGGAACAGATTGAGGGGCCAAAGAGCGAATCCACAGAAAGCGGTCCGTCTTCGCTCTCCACGCATTGAAATACATATTCGCAAAGTTAAGTCCTCCAATTCCACTGCAGGTAACGAATCAGCAGAGTTGGCGGTGTGCCGCGACCTTTGGAACAAGGTGAAGGACCAAGAGCGGTGGGGCAAAGATTGGTTGCCGCTCGCTGTTCATTCTTGTCGTGGTTATTATGCTCGAAAATTCTTCTCCTTTTTCGCAGGTAACGAGTCCGCAGGGTTGGCGGTGTGCCGCGACCATTGGAACAAGGTGAAGGACGAGGAGCGTGGGGCAAAGACTGGTCAGTGCTTGCTCTGCTTCCGACGTGTCTACGTAAGTCACTAAACTAAATGAGCGCACTTCCTTGGCAGGTAACGAGTCGGCAGAGTTGGCGGTGTGCCGCGATCTGTGGTTCAAGATCAAGGACCAGGAGCGATGGGGCAAAGACTGGTCGCTGCTCGCGAAAGCCGCGCTGGACCGAGTGTCTCTCGGCCTGGAAAACTACATGGACGAGATCTACAACCTGGTTCAGCCGCACGCGGAGCTGTTTGGCGCCAAGGCGAAGGTCAACCGGGTAGGGCTAATCCGGTTCCGTTCCCATTCTCGTTCCCCTTCTGCCAATCAGAATCAAGCTCAAGGCGATGGTTGATCGCTTGGAGTGGAGCTCGAGGATCGAATCTTTTCTTTCGTCGTACGCAAGATGACAAGGCTCTGAGCCGATTGTTGGTTGCTCGGAATGGAAACTGGGACAACAAGAAGGATCTGCCTGATCCGTTTGACTGTGGCGTCTCAGCATCGTGTGTACGGGCCATCCGTCGAGACTCAGTGCTAAGGTCTCGCAAGTCAGCGAAGACCAACGTATAGACGCGTACTCAGCAGAACTCACCTCGAAGGTTCCTTTTCAATCACAACACCTCCAAGTCTGCGGTGTTATGGAAATTGAGCTGAAAGATTGCCTGTCTTCTGCACTTTTCCGCCACCACTTCGACCGGACAGTAAGATCAACCGCTGGTGACATAATTATACTGCACAGGACGACAGAGAAGTTTCTTAACGTCGTCTTTCCCCTTGCGTCAGGCTTACGTCACCAACTTTGGCGAGGAAGTCGTGCGCGCGCAGTCCCTGTTCCCACTGTCCATCCTTGTCCAGAAGCTGGAGCCCATGCTGCGGGCGGCCGCAGGTCTCGGCTCCTGGCAGGTGCGCTTTTCTCGCCAATCTCCTAGGGAGTGTAATCGTCAAGGAAGTTTGATCTCCTCGAAAATCCGGTTGTAGCGTTCACCCTACCTCAGTATCGAGGTTTTTAGGGGTTTCTGACGGAGCACTTGATGGGCTGGATTCGCAATGCTCGACCGATTGCAAAAACTTCTTGGATACATACATACGATCGAGTATCCATTCTACCTCTTCTCTGCCCCAGCAATACGGATGACTACGATTGGACAGTTTCTACCCTTTGGTCAGACTTGTTGTAACGATCGTAGTCAGTCTGCTGACGTGGCAGGGTACTCTGTTTAAGCCGGGTGACGTTAGGCCCTATGAGCGGGATGCGCGTTTCAGAAGACGGCTCCTTGCGATACACGTAGCCAGCTTTGCAGTCTGAGGAAACCGCCGTACTGTGGGCGGTAATATGGTCTACAGGAACGCGTTACTGAGGTTGATGGGACGTCATTCTCTACGCGTGTTCCTTCAAGGAATTTTCCTCGGGGACTGCATGCGAATCTTTTTCCTGTTTTCCGTGGCAAAAGAGGCAAACTCGGCGATCCAAGGAAAGCAGTCATCGTGAAAGTTTTGGTTTGCTCTAAGGTCAGCTCTTTGCGTGCCGTCCATATACGACCCAAAACTCGTCATTTTCAACAAAGTAACGCTCTAAAGTCGGTGGACGTGGGAGCATGATCGTATGCACAACAAAGCGTTCGTCGACTGATTCCACGCGAGTCAAGAACCTCAAGAAGATATATGACGGGCTCGCGACTTTTCCGTTGCAGTCCGAAAAACCCGAGCGAGGCGCTTGCGAGACTAACTCTATTGGACCATGTCGATTGAAAGACTCGAACAAGACTTTTCTCCACCAAATCCTCAACGCACAATTAAGAGAAATCTTGCCTACCTTATCCAAAATGCATAGCTCGTTAAAGCTCGTTAACCCCTTTCCGGTCTTCCCAGGTGGTGTCTCAAGCCGCTGCGGAGGGCACCGTCATGGTGCTGACGTCACTGGCGGAGATCCAGGGGGAGCAGTACGTGAAGCCAAGAATCGTGGTCGCGGAGCAGGTCGGCGGGATGGAGGACATCCCGGAGGGGGTGGTCGCGGTGCTGAGCGCAAGCGCGACGGACGTGCTGAGCCACGTGGCAATCAGGGCGCGAAACCAAGGTCAGAATCACAAGATTTTTGGTAACACTTGACAAGCGGAGTGGCTATCAACGTAACCGTGTTTGTCGTCTTCTTTTCCACCAGCTTGGCATGCCCCCGGGCTCATTCTGGTTTTGTTTTCCCCTTGTAGTACTCACAGACAGTCCTCGAGGTCAGCTGTTGCCGAGACCCTCGAGCATCTGAGCTGCGCCGCTCGCAAGCTTCTGGTGATCCTGGCAATCTGGTTCCAATTTAAGGACTGTTTTTGGTGGTGTTTTCGCTCCCTGGACCCCTCCCGCCCTTTCTTCTTTCTGGAGTTTCTTTATTTAAATGGCCGAAGGAAATTTTCGAAGGGCTAACTGCATCACCTAAGCAGAATTCTATCGTACTCCCCGTTATGTAAAGATTTCTTCAATTCACCGGATAAAGTTTGTTCTGGATTTCTAAGAATCAGGAGGTATAACGTCTGACTTCTATCCAGAACAGTGCGGTTGAAGCTCGTCGAACGAAGGCCGTGACGTATTTCCGGATTGAGCATCAATTTTGCTCAGGAAAGGAATCACGGAGGCCTTGGCAGACCGGGTTCTCGTCTCAGGATTTGGGGCATCTTTCGTACCCTTCCCTTTGATTTGTAGAGCGTCGACGAAGGCAAGCTTCAACAATAAACAGCGGAGCTTTATTTGAAGTTTAATTGCAGCCACTGTGCGAAACCTCGTGCTTATCTATGAGATGTGCGAGTGAGCTTGCGAATGCGAAGCAAAACTTCCGACAAGCCTTGTGCAGGTGTCGGCAGACATGTGATTGTCCAGCCAAAAAGGATCTGCCATAATGCAGCACTGGCGGGATAAATCTCTTGATGCTTTGAGCGACTTGTGCTTCTTGAACCACTTTAACAGACCCTGTGGTAAAGTTGCATCTACTTTTTCCCTCATTAGCTTGCTTTCAAGAAGGTGAGCAGTGGGTTGTCTTGTTCTGTAGTGACGTGTATGACGTCAATCCTTGCGTGGTGTCTATATAAAGGCTATGATAAGACGCTTACGCTGAGACTCTGTCTCAGTTGGTTTGACTGGTCCGGTGATGCTACCTATGGGTATAAGTGCTCCTGTGACTATTCCCTTATGTTTGGTACAACCTGCAATGGAACAGGATTCATTGCTTACGCTCGCAACCCATCTCGGTTTGACTCTCTCGGTTTGACCTGAGTCAAACTATTTTAAAGTAGAATGATGACTATCGTGTCCTTCGGCGATAATGGTTGCATCTCGTCTCTTTTTGAAACAATTGGGACATACAACTCTTCGCATAGCTTCAGTACTACCCGCCTTTTTGTTCTGGATATCCCCGAGTATGTTCCGGAAGCCCCGCTTTTGTTCCAAAAGAGCATGAAGAGTCCTTCTGCTACGGCTGATGCACATCCGAACCGTCTGTTCTGAGGGTTATTCCGCCTTCTTTGCGCAGGTTGCCTGCTCGCCACTGCTTTTGATGCGGACGAGTTGGAGCAGATCCGGACGTTGGACGGCAAGTTCGTGTCCGCAACTGTGGATGCCAAGGGAAGCGTCATAGTGTCCGAAGCAAAGGGTGAGCGAAATGTTGCTCTAGGTGTTTCTCTAGTCGTACCAGTAACCATAAGCTTGGACCAGCAGTTCTTTTGGCTTTCTGCGGTCTAGAGAGAAGTATGAGCAAGTTGACTGCAGCAGGCTTGTGGTTATGTCTTGAGATTGATGTCGTCAGATGTGACGAATGTAGGAGAGCATCGGCATGGATGTGAAACATCGTACCGTAAATGATTTGACGCAGTGACTGCCAGGAAAATGGTTGGCTGTAAGGATTGTCTACTGAGGCTGTAAGGATTGTCTACTGAGGGAGCTCGAAACCTCGTGCGTCGGTCGAAGTGGAGAGGAGTCGTTCGCATGAGGCACACCGAGGCCACTTCCAAAGACTAAGAGCCGTTTTGTTTGGCTTCTCCGCTGACCGCCGCTTCTCAAACAAGGTTAAGAACAGCTTCCGTACAGATACCAATCTTTGCCATCCAATTTGACCTGTACGCTTCCCGTCCCATTTTGCAGCCTCCTCTAACGGCGCGGTTGCCAAGCGCGCTGCTTCCTCTTGGAGATCCTCCACCCCTGCAGAGCCGCCCCAACCCCCCAAGGCTTGGGCGATTTCCGAGTCGGACTTCCCCTCCGGGGGCGTCAACCAAAAGTCGCTCAACATCGCACGGCTCCGAGAGGCGGCCAAAAACCCGTCGTTTGACCTACCCACGTCAGTAGCTCTTCCGTTCGGCGCGTTTGAGAAGGCGCTCGCGGCGTCCATAAACAGGACTCCTGCCAACCGCGTGAAGAGGCTGCTCACGGCGGTGGAGTCGTTCGAAGGGAGAGGGTGAGTGGCTTTCTCGCAACGGGATTTCAGTGTTTATCTTTACCAATCACCTTTACCTTTATCAGAACTTTCAAGTTAAGATTCCAAAAGATGCCGCCGATTGTAGGCGGTTGAGCTCAGCGCTGCGATTTGGACGTCTTCCAGTCTTGAATCTCGTACTGTTATCGTCGACTTACGGCTTGGGCCGTCCGCTAGAACGTTGCTAGGTTTCAACGGTGGAAGGCAGATGGTCTAGCTGATGTGCGACTCTTACAAAAGCATCGGGATCCGCTGTCTGTTTTTGGCTTTTCGAATCTGAAGCGTCCCTGAACGTGCTATACTTCAGGGTTTTCGTGTATCGGACATTGACAATTTTAGTCGATTGAGTGCTGTCGAGATGTACAAAACTTCGTGCTTACCAGAGCGCGGTGTCAGTAACAACCTCACCTTTCCCACTTGTTCTACCAGATACTTGTCGATCATTGTGTAGACGCAGGTTTTGACCCCTTCGGCTTTGTGCTCCAAAGTTTCGGCCGTGCTCTCTTGATTGCAAAGACGTTGCCACGGATTTTACGGTAATGAAAGTTTTGAGAGGGGAAGTGACGGAACAAGGCCAAGGCCTCCTAAACTGTAAAGGCGACGTTCGCGAAGGGGAAATTTTTGTTTTCCTGTCAGAATTCCAGTCGTACTTGGTCAACTTTGGGAGGTTGTCGTCAAAGTGACTCTTGCCGCTGCACGCGCTGACGAATGAAGTCACGCAAACCAACAAAGCCGCGTGGACAGCGACGCTCGCTGACTCCGCTTGTGCTGTCCGCTTCAGGATTCCGGCCAAGTTTTCTGACTTGCGAGAGGTCATCTCGACGGAATTGTCGGCGCTTTAAACCGAAACGCAATTCGCCAAAGCCGCGAGCACTTGGGAGGTTTGCTAAGTGCGTTCCGCTTTCCGTTCAGTATTCCGGCCGAGCTCTCCGAGTTGCGAATGGTTGTCTCCACGCAACTCTCGGCGCTTGCAACGCTGAGGAAGAAAGTCACGGGAGTCGCCGAAGCTGCGGGCATCGTGGAGAAAGACGTCCGCTAACTGCGCTTCCGCTTTCCGTTCAGGATTCCGGCCGAGCTCTCTGAGTTGCGGATGGTTGTTTCTACGCAACTCGCAGAAACAATCTGAATCGTGCGGAAAGACGTCAGCTAACTGCGCTTCCGTTTCTGTTCAGGATCCCGGCCGAGCTCTCCGAGTTGCGAATGGTTGTCTCCACGCAACTCTCGGCGCTTCAAACGCTGAGGAAGGAAATCACGCAAGGCGCAGAAACAATCCGAATCGTGCAGAAAGACGTCCGCCAACTGCGCTTCCGTTTTCCGTTTAGGATTCCGGCCGAGCTCTCCGAGTTGTGAATGGTTATTCTGCACGCAACTTTTGGCGCTTCGAAGTGTGAGGAAGGAAGTTACGCAACTCGCAGAAACAACCTTGTGGAAAAAGACGTCCGCTAACCGCGCTTCCGTTTTCCGTTCAGGATTCCGGCCGAGCTCTCCGAGTTGCGCATGGTTGTTTCCACGCAACTCTCGGCGCTTGCAACGCTGAGGAAGGAAGTCACAGGAGTCGCCGAGGCTGCGGGGATCGTGGAGAGCGGAGCTTGGGCGTCGGACGAGGCCTGGAAGGCGGCGTGGGGCGCGATCTGCCGCGTGTGGGCTAGCAAATGGACGGACAGAGCCTGGTAAGAAACGTTCGTGACTGCGCGCTAAATGTGTATCCATGGCAGACAGAATAGAGGGAATGCGAGTAAAGTCGGTTTGTAGCAGCAAGTTCTCCCGATGGATGCGGGCTGGCAGGCGGTTTCGGGCGCGAGTAGGCGAGGGTGGGCTAGCAAATGGACGGACAGAGCCTGGTAAGTAATGTTCGTGATTGGGTGTCTTTTGTGATGTGAGAATGAGGGGAGTGGATAAGTCCGGTTTTCAGCAGTGAACTTTTGCTAAGAAACGGCAGGAAGATATTCTGTGGAAACCCTGAAAAAGCGGCTTGTTCATGCAAGCTTTCTGAGTTTGCAAATGACTTTGCGAAGAAGAGGGGTGGGGAAAGAAATGTTTCTTTGATACTTGGAACGCTCAGCGTTGACGGGACTACAGTCACTGTACCCGTTCGTAGTGATCCAGATTGGACCCGCCACACCTGACGACTCAGGCGATTGCACTAATACCACGAGGACTGTGCTGCTCTATATACCAACAACCAGAAGCAAAACCGATTTCAAGTCAACCGCCATCGCAGGTTGAGCCGCTGTGTGCGGGCAGCCCAACGGCTTAACCGATTGCAAAGAAAGGAAGCACAAGCTGTTGCTAATTTCAGCAGCCAACGACCGGAACTCCACCCGTTACAACTTTATTCCGTTTTGCAGTTTGAGCGGCCGCGCATGGGGTAGCCCCTGCTAGCGAACCTTGACTAACCAGCCCTAAGCTGTCTTTCAGGTTGAGCCGCCGCACGCGGGGCAGTGACTACGCAACCCTAAACCAAGATTAACCCTTGCTGATTAGCACTAACCGGTTTCCAGGTTGAGCCGCCGCGCGTGGGGGACCCCCGACGGCGCCCTCCAGATGGCGGTGCTCCTGCAGAAGGTCGTTCCGGCGGAATACGCGTTCGTCATCCACACAGCGGACCCCATTTCCGGCGACCGGTCCAAGATCTTCGGCGAGGTGGTGCCGGGGCTCGGGGAGGTGCTGGTCGGGAGCTACCCGGGGCGCGCGTTCAGCTTCACTTACAACCAGGATGGGACCTCAGGTGAGATCCTTGATGCTGCCCAAGTTAGCTTTCTGCTTTCTGCTTTCTAAAATCCTCTCAGATGTTGGGCATCGGGCATTTATTCTCCTAAAAGATGCTTTATGGTGGGGCTCGAAAACTGCTGGTCGAGAGCTACCCGGGACATGCGTTCAGCTTCACTTACAGCCAGGACGGAACCTCCGGTGAGACTTTGCACTGGACATGAGCGTTTGTGGCTTCCTTTTTTCCGTATTCATGGTCAGCATGTAACCCGATTATCGCATCAAAAGCTGCTATTTTGGAGGAACTTGGGAGGTGCTAGTGGGCAGCGATCCGGGGCGGGCGTTCAGCTTCAATTACAATCAGGACGGGACCTTAGGTGAGATCCTTGATCCTGCATGACTTGGCAATTTGCTTTCTAAGTTCCTCTCACATAATGGGATTCGTCGTTTACCCGGTGAGTTCTTCCAAACGTTACCTTTTTGGTGGGGCTCGAGTGCTGGTGGGTAGCTACCCGGAGTGGCGTTCAGCACTACCCACAAACAAAAAGTTGCTTCTTGTCGTAGGCGAAGCTTGGTGAGGCTTTAGATTTTGCCCTGGATTTTGCTTTCGGACGTCTCGTTGGTCCTGCTCATTATGAGCGTTTGGCCTGGTCGGGTTTGTTGACTTCTTTGTTGTTCGGCTCTGGAAGTGCTGGTTGGGAATTACCCCAATGGCTCGTTGACCGACTAATCCAACCCAAATGAACGTTAAGAATTTCGGTGGAGGGGTCCGAATTTCATCCGGACCCCTCTTCAAGAGGCGTCCGGATGAAATTCTTTGGGCTGAATCTACCAAGCGAGCTGTCAACCGGAACCCTCTCTAAGATGGTCACACGCAATAAGCGAGCAAACGATTCCACAATACTTGCGGTCGACACCTCTTGTCGCCTTTGTTTGCTTGGAGCGTTGCTTGATTGCAGCACGGTGTGTGTGGTATTTGTGTGGAAGTTGCTAGAATCTTAAAACGAATGATACAGTGGCTGCGATGACGAATGATGAGGTCTCTCCCCACGGCATCTCGAAGACCGCTTGAAGCCACAATGGCAATGCATCTCTGTTGCGATGGGAGTCCTGTTGGGGTCAGGGGTTTCGCATGAAGTTAGGAGTTTTTTTCAAGCTTTGCGAACATTAGATCAGGAATTTTCTTTTCCCCAGGGACCGTGCTTCCTTGTCGGTCACCGTTTTTTTGAGTTTATAATACCTAGCACATTTGCCAGACCTGTACCGACATTTTGCTGGGTTGTGGACTATCTTTTGCCAGTTTTCCACATTTCTTGATGTGTCACGGCTTGCATATTACACCGTTGGAGTCTGTCGGCAGCGTATCCTTTGACCTCTTTAAGAAAGTTGGCCATTATATGGGGCGCTCGACAGCGTCCGCGTTCGTTTTGTTGCGGTTTCGTGACTATCTGCTGACTCGCTTATTGAGCTTCGTGTCACCTCAGCTAGCGAAGTTTCACAGTCTGCGGCGATGAGATTCCTGTGGGTGTCATCGCTCCCACCCATTCTTGGATAACTCTAATATTCTTGAGCCGCGCTGTCGTTAGCTTGCTAATTTGCAGCATGTCTCTGGTTATGGGCAGTTTTCTCTCCGCCCGTCTCTGAGTAAGCGTTGTATGGCGTTAAACGGGTTTGACGCCTGGAATTCTGGTCGTAACGATGTCGCTGCAGTGAAGCAAAGCCGTATCCGTTGCCGTCAAGCGGGTCTTGTTTAAACGCTCTTGAAGCAGTTGCAAAAGCTTGCGGTAGTGTCAAGCTACGAGACGATCTGAGCCATCAACACTGGATGAGGTGTTTACTCTGCCAAGTTCGGTTCAGAGGTCCAACCTACGGAGCATGGCCGCTTGGCTGCTTCGACCATGTTTGCTGGTTGGTTAAAGTCGCTGGATTTCCTTCCTGAACGTCTGCGAAACCTTGGCTGTAGTTGGTCCTTATCACGAGAGGGCTCATTCTGAATTTGTCCTAGCTTCAGAAAGAGAGCATTGACACCGTACCGAGTGTGGCTCAGCATTCACCGCTGTTCCAAATCTGCCGTTTTGAGTGTGGCAATGACAAACACTCCTAGCGTGAGTTCTCTGCTCACCAAAAGCTTGAGATGTGAGCCGGCGTTTGGTCTACAGCTTGAGTTGTGCAGGCTTCTTCTTCTGTCGTATCTGAAGAAGAAGATGCACGAGTAGTTTTCAATCAGTCTGTCTCCAACGAAGACGGCGGCTAGGCTGGCTGTTCTTTGAAGTGGCGAAGATGTTGCTCGCTTGAGGTTTGGCCTCAAAAGTTCTCATACCCAGAAGCCATCCAAATTCAGAACGGGATCAGCACGGATGATTCGTATTCTTGAGGGGGCCAAGGGTGTAGTTGGTTGGGTTGGGTTTCGGCGTCAGGGGGCCTTGCAGAGCTGCTGACATATCCCAAACATTCTGGCCCTGACGCCAAGCACAACTCTGAAGTTAAGACCATGTATTTGGGTACTGATCGGCAACTTCAAAGCAGAGCCAATTGATCCGCCCTGATCTTTGCGTAGACAGTGACTGGCAAGGATGTCCTTGGATTGAGGCTTACCTCAGCCCTTCTTGAGAAAGTGTGAAGCCATTGGAGGATCAGGTTGCGCATGCACTCTCTGATATCGTCTGAGATTCGTGTGGACATAAACACGTGAAACCCATCTGTAGCACCCGGATGAGTCCGCTTATCTGGCACCGTGCTTCCTGACACGTCGCCCTATTGATCTAGATGAGATCGCTGTCCTTCATTTCCACCTCAGTACGTCGCTTCTGTTCTTACCCGCTTTTGCAAACCTGCAGAGTGCCAACTCTAAGGTGCTCACTGTCTATGTTACGTCTTCCTCGTAGCTTATTTGAGTTCAAGTGGCGTCAGCTGGTCGTTCTTTCTGTCTGTACTGGAAATGTTTCGTAGAGACAGTGACGGCTAGATTCTGTTAAGCATAAGTTGTTACGACGAACCCATCCTGGCAGTGATGTCGCTTACATGAGGCGTTCTCTCAATTTTCCTTTGCACGAGCATGATGCCAGGACGGTAGACTGGTTCTGGTGGCGGCTTTCAATTCAACTTCAAGCAAACCCTTCGTTTCAGTCTTCAAAAACGTTTCTACATCATACTCGCACGGGTTCATTCACCGAGGGCCCAGCGAAGAATGAAGCAGAGGTCAAAGCGCTTTGAGACAACTTGTCAGCAAGATTTTCATAGCACCCTTCGTCGAAGTGGGTCGACATTTTCATCCTGCGGCTCCGCATCCTTGCGGCTCTCTTGCCCGCTCTCAGCACTAGATATGGATCCTTGTCGCGCTAGAAAGAGCCTTACGTTCTTGGCTTGCCGAAAGGTTCCTTTTCAGCTGTTGCGGGCAAAGTGAATAAGAAGCTTCCCTGAATGGTTCTGGTCTCTTAATCTCTTTGCCAACTTGTTGGAATGCTCTTTATACGTTCCGCTCAACTGGGGCATCTCGACAATAGGGTTTGCGCAGGTGGCAATGACTCGCTTTCTCTTGGATCCGTTGTCCAACGGATAAAAGTTGCCGAGTGCCACCGAGACTGACTACCACTAAGCAGGCACCCATAAGAGCTTCCAGGTTTCTGAACCCTTTCCGGAGCACCTTGTGGGTAGGGGGTCAGAAAAGATGTTACCACGGCTTCTGTTGAAAGCGTGGCTTTAGGGTATGTAATCTCATTGTAGAAACGACATGCCGCTTCAACGTGGTTATGCAATCTGCTTCACCTTTGTTCAAGCGGTTGATTTGGGTCGGAAGACTCTCGTAGGACGTGCGTTGAATTTTCTTGTCACGTTGACCGCAACCATCTGATTCGTCGCAAGTCGACTTGCGGTGCAAGAATGGTTATTTTCATCCTATCTGGTTGGAAATGATGTCTGCAAGCTCGCCCGGGGAACCTCCTCAGCAGTAAGCCTGGCAGCGTAGATTCATTGCCCCGAAGTTATCATCGTTAATGTTGCTGATACATACGATCACTCTCTACTTTGGAGGGCATTATGGGTGGAAATTGAGGTTCTCAAAACAGGCTGTCATTAGGTTATGTACTAAGATCGACAAAGCTAAATTACACATTCCCGCGTGGCCGTGATGAATCTACGTTGAGCAGCGTGCTCAACCAAAACCTCCCGCGACGCCACCGTCAGATCGATTCAGTGTCTTACTTCCATAGGCTCCAAAATGATAGACCACCCCTCACACAACAAAAACCAATGTTATCAATTAAGCAAGCCAACCAGGACTCCGTTCGTGTCTGCACCGCTCCTTCGAAGTCCAGTTCTTGTACTGTCCCTGAAGACGCGTTTCTCAAAAGCAATTCACGGGTAAAAACTTGCTGACAAGTGAGGGGTACGAGAAACTGGTTACTTCCAACGCATTGCCGCTGGATCAGGTGGGCTGCGCAAAGAATGTGACGGCCTGGTCTGTCGGTTTCTGCAAGCTGAACTCGCTTTCCTTCTACAGCCGTGTCAATCAATCTCAGCTTATTGCGAGACCTGACACGCAGTCGGGCCCGGGAAGCAGTTGGTCTCCTCGCAATCGCACTCTTTGATCATTGTCACATCAGCTGCGCCTAGTTGCGCGCCTGTTCCCAGTTGTCTAGCGTCGCTGTTCTCACTTGAAAGTGATGCAACAGCCAATGATGAGCTGGAGCCGAGGTTCCTCCTCACTTCCATTGCTCAAATTGAGGCTCTGCATGCCCAAATTGTGGTTGCTTTTACACGCACCGATTCCCAAAGGAATTGTTCGTTGTGCCGCTTTCAGCGGCTATGATGACGTGTGCACATAAGGTAAAGCCGTAGAGTGTTGTTGGCAGGATATGAGGCCGTTTACATGTTCGAAAGACAGGCAAAGGAATGGCGCCTTGTAATTACCGTCTTTGAAGTAATCTTGCATCGACCATCGGCCGTCCTATCTTAGAGTTTCGTTTTTGAGACTATTTTGCTTCTGAGCTCGCAGCGTTTGATTGGTCGGTGGATATGAGTTACGTCATCCCTATGTAAGCCTCCCCAAATAAGGGCGGCCTGTACATTTGAAGGGATGCTGCACTTTAGTCCATCCAGATTATCTCTTCCTGTCCCTTACGGTTCTAAGCTAACGACACCCCTCGTTCTGCCACTGATTGTGTGCCGCTCTTTCAAAATCCGCAGCTTTGTTTACCTGCTGCCTTTACATCACCTCTCATGTAACAGTGAGCGGTTCAGTGTGTCCGAGTGCCACGACCGGCGCTAAATCAAGGCAAGGCCGCTCCCATTGAGGCGCGCAGCTCTTCTTGCGGCTGACGGTTCCTTTGTCGCGCGCTCACTCCAACAGCGACGATAGGGATCGATCCGGCTCAAAGCGCTTCTCGATTCTTAAATATACTGAAACTGGACACTTCATTTCCGTTTGCAGAGATCTTGTCGCTCCCCTCGAAGCGCATCGCCCTTCTTGCCGCCAACAATTCCATCATCGCGCGCTCTGATTCCAACGGCGAGGACCAGGAGGGCTTTGCGGGTGCAGGGCTGTACGACAGCGTTCCAGTGCCAGAGGCGGAAGTCCACCTCTTGGACTACACCACCGAGAAGCTCTTGTGGGATCCTGAGGTAGGATTTGCAGCCGGGAAGTCTGAACGTTTTGAAACCAATTTCCAAAGGTAGGATTTGCAGCCGGGAAGTCTGAACGTTTTGAAACCAATTTCCAGAGGTAGGATTTGCAGCCGGGAAGTCTGAACGTTTTGAAATCAAATTGGAAATTGATTGATTGGAGGGTTTTTGGGTTTTTGCGGGGGCTAGTCTCTATGATAGCGTTCAAGTGCCGGAGGCGGAAGTGCATCTCTTGGACTACACCACCGAGAAGCTTCTGTGGGATCCTGAGGTAAGATTTGCAGTCGGGAAGTCTCAAAGTTCTGAGGTCAACCCAGAAATTGGGTAATTCGGGAATTTTGGCTTTGTGGGGGCCGGATTGTACGACAGCGTTCCAGAACCAGAAGCGAAAGAGCACCTCTTGGACTCTACCACGGAGAAGCTCTTGTGGGATCCTGAGGTAAATTTGGCAGAGAGAACCGAAGCACTCGCCTCAAACACTGTTTCGTTATGAAGTCCTGGCGGAATAACCGGTCGGTTTTTCGAGGCTTCTTTCCCCGCTTTTGCTGATTCCCCGACCGCCTTCAGCGATGGAGGGTTTCAGGATGATTCGTTGCAGTCTTTGCCTTGTCCGTTACAAAGCACATTCGAGTACGAAGAGCATCGCTAAGTCGTTCCCTTCTTCCATTTTGCAGTTCCAAAGCCAGCTCATCGAGGGCGTTGTCGGCATCGCGAAAGAGGTCGAGGCCGCGTTTGGCGGCGTGCCGCAGGATATCGAGGGCGTATACGCGGATGGCAAGTTCACCGTGGTACAGTCCAGGCCCCAGATCTTGTAGCCCAAGCTCGCGCAGGATCGAGATGTTGCTTATGGAACGAAATGCAAAGGGGTTGTCGATGTTAATAAGAGTCCCGGGGCGAGGGTTCAGGGTACGGGTTTCGGTTTTTCTTGACAGTGTTTTTACAGGAATAAGGTTTTCTTATCTCGTAGCTTTGAAAGGCAAGGGCAGATAGCTCGCGAAAAGGCAAGGGCAGATACTGTTATATCCATCAGTTGGTCGTCTCGGCAATTGCGTGCTTAAAAGCGGAAATCCAGGTACGATCCTTATCGATTGCGAATAACCGTTGCAAATAGCCTGCGCCCGACAATGCAGAAAAACTGTGTCAGGGGGTCACCCTTGTCCGTTTCCTTCTGCATTCTCAGTTTCCGGTGCTCTTAGGGACCCTCTTAATTCCTGGGTTGAATTTTACAGTCCTTGAGCAAGGTTTTTCACACCGCGTCCGCAATATGTGCTGATCATATCCAAAATCCCAGTCTCATGCGATACGGACAAGGGTGTTTGAAGTGAGACACATGCGCAAACAGGTGCTCCGACAAAAGGCACCTACTTCAGAGCGCGTGCTAAACGCTGTCACGGCTGCATGGCCCTAAGGCGAATGATTTGCAATATACTTGTGATTGCAGCCGTAGTGCTTACCCTTTGTCGGTAATGATGAGCGCATGGCTGACGTCTCTGACCTCAGACCAGGTACGATACAGCAGCGCAAATATTGAAGGCCAATGCAGTTACCTTGACAGTCCGCAACATGGATTTTCTTTCCTTCAATTGCTGCTGCTTCGATGGGCTTTGCCCTGACCGCCTGGATTGGATTCTTTGCCATCATATATAAGGCTAAAAAAAATGCGAAGACCTAGGCTATAGAGAAACCATTTAGCAAGTGCCAGGCCAATAAGTCTACCGGCCGTGCGTCTCGGGCCATGCTTGGGCAGGAAATGATGACGGTCGGGTCTGATTCCGACGTTGCACCAAAGTCGATTTGGCCGGGCAACTACCCGTCTCATTCTTCTATGTGAACGGTCGAGGTATAAGTTCAAATTCGGAGTTCCGACATGGGGTGCACGTTTCGCCCGCAGGCGCTTGGTCGCTTCAATGACCGCGCGAAAGCGACCGCAAAGTACCCGTCCGCCAGAAATTGTTTGTTGATCGAAGGTCTTGAACCCGCGGAAGCACGCACGTATTGGCGGCCGATGCCATGTATCTGTCGATCACCGCGGGTTCATGGACCGACGAGTCACTCCGTCCTGAGGTCCTTCAGTGCTAAGTTTGGCCAAAACCGGCTTGCACACGAGCTCAAATTCCGCCCACCAAATTATGGCGATGACCAAAGCCCGGCCCTGCTGGGGTAAAGTTACCTCACACTCCGCGGCCCTTGTTAAAAAGCACTGCTGAAGCCATCTCAACTCGCCGAATCTGTTAGGTAGGTGGAAATATGTGAGATGTAACCGACGGAAGCCAATAGGTTTTATCACCCGACATAAAACCTGCGAGTAAGCCGCCGTAAGAATCACGTACTTCGTCAATAAGCACTTTGGTGATGTTAACCACGAACGAGCTCCCGTCGCGGCGGCCTCTCAGGATTCGAAGCTGTTGGGGCTTCATTGATGTTCTCTGCATCTTGCATGGTCCTTCTTTGCGGCGCCAATGCTGACAGCTGGTTTGAATTTGAATTGAAGTTCCTTACCCATCCTCCGTTTCCGAAGAACAACTCGGCCTTGCTTAAGATAGAGATAACCGAACGCTCCTTTCCCCCTCTCCTTGATTATCCATTTCTGGACAGTGCGCCTCGTGTCAGCTGTGAGAGCGTTGCCTCTAGCGGCGCTACCGGTGGCCTTCTCTGTTTGCTGTCATTCGTCAACGGAAGAGCGAATGGACGCTGTTTTTCGTCACCTCTAGAAACACTGAAAGTACTTACTGTTTCTTCCACAAACAAGCATCTTCCAGACCGGTGGATGAAGTTCTCCGCTTCCTCCGATCATAGGTGCTTGCACGAGATAAAGACGGTATCCAAATTCCGTCTTCCGTGGCTAAAACTGGTCGGAACGCCGGGCTTAGAGAGAAGCGTCCATCGGAACGGAACGGTCGGAATTTCAAATGCCTTTGCCCATCTTACATAATAGCCCTTATTTTTGTTGTAGTCCGCGGATACGTTCCCGCCCCAAATCTGCAGAACGCTGTGCGCGAGCATGTTTATGAACTCGCATCCTTGGTAGATTTCAGTCGCAGCTGGTGGGGCTTCAAGAATACTGAAAGGACAGTATCTTCTGGCGGCGATGAACGGCTGATAGTCCGGGCCGGGCTCTAATTCAGTCACTTGGATGGCTTTAGTGCCAGATCGCCTGATGCCGCAAACCGAGAAGCTGGGTTACAAGTAACATGCGGTACTCCAGTATGTCGCAAGCAGGCACCTAACGACACAAGAAAGAGCCTACGTGGCACCTACGTGATTTCAGTTGATTTCCTCTTCTCTACGGCAAAGTCTCCGTGATGCACGAAGTTCGGGTCTGACTCGGATGCCCTTGCTTGAAATGAGATGCGAGACCTCCGCTAGCTAGTGTTCAAGATTCTTACTTGGGGTTCAGCGGACGTGCGGGTGCGCGCGCGCTTCGCTCGCAGGCCGGCTTTTCGATGGGCTTGACTGGTTGCCCAGA